GGGCAAGTGTGCGCGACAAAATTCGTGAACCTTCTTAATATGTTTATATTTGTGAACTCAGAAAATGTCTACGACCGAGTTCTCTCCAGGAAAAAGAATCATCTGTAAAAATATTGACGGATAGCAAGCCGTCTTAAAAATATTCAAGCGCAGTTTATTGATAACCGAAACTGTGTCAATCATTAGGTCGAGATCTTTACATGAACAGGGATAATCAAACGCAGTTAAGGAAAGAAATGCATCAAAGTAGGAAATCTTTAAATACGAAGTCTGATAACAGTAATATAGCTAATACTCTAAACAACTTACTTGTTGAAAAGAAGCAAGTGCACTGTCTTCTAAGATAAGAAAATAACTAGATTCGAACCGGTGAAAGACTACAAGCAGCTGAATGACGATAATCTGACAAACGACTAGAGTCAGACGTCATGCACTCGTGTCAAATGCCGATATGCGGTGGCCTTGGATGTGACATTCAACTGAAGGAAAGATTTCAATTTGGAATATTAGTAGTTCATCCGCATGAGCAGCGAGGCTCACTGCGTAATCAATGACAAACGGCATTCCAGGCACTAGAACAATTTTCTTGGAACTAGGAAGGCTGAGAAAATCGGTTGATTTCTTATATGATAGTACAAGCACAGGCGTCAACGGCATCCTACATCACCTGAAAGTCGGTAGCAGGAAAACTTCAATGCATCCTGTCTGAGAAAAGTCCGACACTACTGCCTGCACAGCCGAGTGGATAATTTATCATTTCAAACTCGTCTGAAGGGTCTGAGGTAACATACTTCGAACAAAAGAATCTATGCTGACAGAATGGCGTGGCTTTTTAAGTCATAAATCACGCAGTATGCACAGGAACCACCAAAGTTTCTATTAGGAAGCAATACGGTAAACATTTACGGAGAGACGCTGAAACTGTGCTGCCGTCAGTCTCCTTTCTCATTCTGAAATACTCAATCCTCAAAGAAATGAGCTCCTTTTGTTAGAGAACCGTAGAACTGACTCCCGAACCTTCAATATTCAAGTTGTAAATAAATTAGACATGTTTGCAGCAACAGCATCATAGACGCGCGGATTTCAAGGTTCATGTAAATTCATGCTATTTATCAAGTCAGATATAAAAAAGTCTTGTCTCTAACTTAACGGAAGTAAACTTGTCAGATAATTTCACCTAAATGCCGAAATATTCGTTCAATAGTGGTAATAAAGTTCGCTTATACAATGGAGCTGTGGACTACCTAAAAAGTCCCATAGATCATTAGAAGCAAACAGACGGTGTGACTACACTGTGCGAATAAATGGAGAAGTAACAGGAGATTGTTAGCCTAGCCGGCGGTATTGAACACTAGCAGTTGGCCAGGAAACCAATAATACTGGGGGCAGTTTTTATTATATATAGTTAGCTTATATTGTTACACACTGTAAAGCATAGAAAGTTACATTATGGGGTCCGATTGCATGCAAGTCATGAACATGTGCGTGTTGTCCAACAACCGATTTGCCTGGTGCAATATGGAAATTTCCAGCAACCTAAAACAGAGAATGCATCAGAAATGACTGAAAAACTAAACGCTCTGGCGCAACAGCAGTACAGAAGACAAGTCGTCAACAGGATCGGGTGACTTAAATCAAGATATTTTTACAAGCTTGCTCGAACAAGTTATTTACTTTTTATGTCCTCCTGTTGTTTTGCGTGAAATACATTATAAGCCTGCTATTTAACTGTTCGCAAATTAAGCTTCAATAAGGCTTTCCGTTTTGCATAATGTTAGCTTAAACTCACTTGGTGGTACAGGCGTGAAGAATGTCGGATTACATTTTTAGAGTAAACGAAGATTAACTCCTGTTCTTCAGAATGACTTCTTTAATTACGGACACAGCGTTAAAATGAAGTAACGAAGCATTTTATTGACACACGTGAATTTTCTCTACATACGATACAGCAGCCATTAAGATTGGCTGGGAGCATCGAAAGAACGGCAAGGGACAATATGTCCTTGGTTACGTTAAATCCAGTTCAGCAAACAAGGAAGAATAACGCTTGTGAGAGGGATACTGGAAGATATCTATTACAGAACATGCCGATGTTCTTATCAGTAAAAAGAAGAGAAAAAGTCTTATTTGGAGACGCACTTACGCCGGGTTTTAACTGGACCTGCCAACCCTCATCAGTCATAATAACCTGACTCGTCGCTGAAGTAAAGCGTTAACGCAAAAGACAGTAGAGCAAATCCACATCATTTATGTGCTCCTGGTCATCACATATCTTCGTCACTTGTCACGTGTTATCGATTTCGCCGGGGGCGGCCATTTTTTTGCTAATACACAATTTCTAATTTCGAATTCAAAATACCTAAAGAGGCAACTCCAGCGCTTGAACATATCCATATCACAGTCTCCTTCTGTAGTGCACTGTCTGAATCAGAGTTTCAAAATCTGACAGTGGGTTACACTAATTTTACAGTCGGTCTCACAGCAGCGAAGCCGAGGTGATGACCTGTAGTGATTTGATTGAAGTCGTCACAATTTAAGGCTAGCAAGGCTTGAACAGCTGGGTAAGCCAAACTGGGGATGCCGAACACCGCTTGAAATGGTGTCTCAGATTTACTTTAGGCAATGTTCTTCGTTGTAAGCAAGTCCGGCTCAAGGAGATATTTCCATGTTTCATACAGCTGACTGTGAGAGAACGGCTCCAGTCAAAAAAAACATTTTAAATCAATTTCTGTTCTTTTCAACTATTTACAGACCAAGTCATGGGCGCATTCTCAGTTCGATTGCTGGTCATCAGCATTTGTTCATTCAAAAATGTTAATTTCAAAACACTTAGCATTCAACGTTGTTGAAAGCTGTAGAGGCAAGCCGCATAACGTTGCCGGAAATGAGATGTGCCGAGGTTGTACATGAAATCGCGAATGGCGCAGCTGTCAAAATGATGAATACGTTGCTGCCATCGTGGTCCCCTCGTTCAACATTTTATGCACCTTCTCGAAATTTTCCTCTGTCACTGCAATGCGCCAGTTCATTTCGGGATCAATATCATTGTCATTACTAATGAAAGTTCCATCGTACTCGAAATTATCCACCCAATCATCGCATTATTTCCACCGGCTATCGACAGCAACTGGATTTTAGAACCTCGTAGCTGACTACTGGTAGTTTAGTCGTTCTGTAATATCACAGTTGATGAAGGCTGTCAGGTCCAATTACGTGATCCCTAGAGCAAATTTTTTAACTTTTTCAGAATGTTTATTTATCAGTTAAGTCAACTTTCTTCCCCTCAACATATTTCTCACAACGCATGCTACTACGAACTTTGACGATCGCCTGTCTGTTTACCAAATTGTTTTTTGGTAAGTATATCTTACAGATAAATTCACAACAGCGAACAGAAACACTAAACAGCACAACATTGTAATGTAGAGTCACGTGAGTTTGCTATAGAGCATTGTGAAAAGCACTTTTTTAATGCAGAGAGAGACTGCTTTTTTGACAGGATCAAATCGATGCTGCACATGAGTCACTAAAAATGGATCCGTGAGAAGTGCGACCTGAAGAGATTCTGTATTCTTGCTGCAGCCGATTCCAAAAATGACTGAGCACAAATACGAACAAAAAACTTCAGACCTTCGACATTTTCACGTGTCCGTAAACCTCACAACCTTCGTTCTTGAACGCTACCAACTTGCCCAGCCAGGCATCGTTCCGGCATTGCTTTACACGCTCAATCTCAATCATCGCCCAACCGCGGATTGCGTATGCCCTTTTTACGTCTTCGCACGTTTTGCAGCACCTAAATTCACCCAGGAAACACAGCGTGTTGCTGCGACTTGCAACATTGTAAACTATCAGCGCAGAAACAGGAGAATGATGCAACCAGCAAGAAAATATGTACTGGTAAAGTACAACTGTTTGACAATTAAGCAATTTACTGTTTATAAAAGCAATATAACATCTTTAAGAGAATATAGCATTATAGAACACTTCAATTATTTAAACGGGTGGAAAGTTTATTATCGCAAAAATCTTTAAAGGGTTTAATCAGCATATAAATTTTATTAAACACATTTCTGACGCTTCGCATCAAGCAAGATCTCTCTTCAGTACACAACACAAAGGCCAATGCAAAAATAATGTCAGAAAATTAATACAGTTACGAACATAACTCAAATCTACAAGTCTACGTAGCGTTATTCAATCATACCCATTCGTCTAGTTTACTACGGCGATTCACATCTTTACTTCAAGAAGAACTCTTACTTCCTCTTCACGAAGAATCCGCATGACAAAACATTTTTTAAAGGAATCATGATAAGACACTTTTACTTTTTGTTTCGTTTATCTATTAGCCTGGCACTCTGAATTCAGTCAAGGTTTGGAAAACTATCAAACTTTCTGATGCCCTGTTGGATGTTTCGTGAGGAAACGGCGGCCCTACGTTGCCTAATGAAACACCAACATTTACGACTAGAATTGAGGAAGTCACAGCTCTTTAATGAGGTCAGTTCTTCTGTAGTGCCTTGCGGCCTTCGACAAGTCCAGTATTGCAGAGTCAACCTCGAGTTTTCCTCCGCTAAAATTTCGATCATATGTCCGCGATGGCGTAGACCTAAGGCAGGATGTATAATTTCCTGAATCCCTAACAAATGCGCCATTAAGCATCTTTCTTGATGATGCAGCAACCGGTGGAACTGTTAGGGTTGGTGAGATGAGGCAAATATCTTTTCGATCTTATCGGTGCCGTCCTTCTGCACCGGTTTTTGAATATTCTTTTATAGCTGAGGTAGCAATACAATTTCAAGGAATTTCATTTCAGAGTCGATCACAATCGGCCTCTGAAGACAACACGGCAAAATATCAAAAACAATTCTGGACTCTCCGAGCAAGTACGCTTCCCTCTCTTTCTGCTTCATGAAAGTCGCGCCTTGTTTTTCAAGCCTGCAGTTCGACTCTTCTTCCGCTGAATCACCCGATTATCGAGCAGCCTCCTACCACCTCGCAGGTGTTCAAGTCGCCAATATACACTCCTGCGCATCTATACCTCGCGAACA